AACTCTGAGACCTTCGTCCTCCTGCTTGTTGTCAATCTAAGAGACCTTGTGGGATAATTCTACAGCTTTCGTGGAAAGGATTTTGTACTGCTGAAAACATCTGGCTCTACACGCTTCCGTTTTTAGCAGAGGTGAAAGATTCTGTGGGTACGCATTTCCAGCTATTCAATTAGAAGTCAGTTACCATGACGATTTGCTCCTGCGGAGGTATGAAGTCAGTGGAGTTTGAAGATCAAGTGTCACTTGCCAGCCAACTTACAGTTGATTGCTGAGCTTGCAACGAGAGGCGTTTCTTGATTGTCTTCTCTATGATATTTTATTTGCTTATTGTTCTTACTATTGCGGATGTTACGGTCTTGTTCTTTTTGGATAGTGGGGAGGTGTCAGTGCCGCTGGGTTTGGCAGGTGGCCAGCTCGTTCTCTATCGGTCGGAAAACGACAAGAATTGGTGGAAAGCGACTGATACCCACGATGGACACAGTCTAGGCACATCCTACGTTAGGAACTCTCCAGCTGGGGAGGTCATATTGGTCACTGGAGAGGAGGGGTCTGCTCGTCGTTGAGAGAGAGGGGAATGGTATTAGCCTTTGAGATAATTTGCCGCGTTTACGTTTCGCTTTCAAAACGATTTTTAACTTTCCCGGGCGCTATAAACCCCTTCCACCCCGCTCAAAATTCTGGCGAAGAACTGAAAAATTTCGATGAAAGTGGTGGGAAGACTGATAAAGTTGGCAAAGTAGTAGAATGGGAAGGATGGACTCATAGGAGAGGACGAAAATGGGGGTTTATATTTTGTACAATCTTGTCATGTGCCGAAAGAAGAAAAAACCGGCTTGCATCGCTATAAACCCATCCCTTCCCTCCCCTAGACACGCCCTATCATTCGCGCGAACACCACTGTATATACACTCTTATCCCTGAGCCAGAGTAGGCGTGGCATTTGAACATGGCACGGAATTGGTTACTCGTGGAATATTCCAGTCTGGGACAACTGTCATCTTGTTCTGTGTTGGACAGAGACACGACAACAATTGTGTCAAGATGAAAATATCTCACCAGAAGCATAGACACCTTCAGGTTAAGTTGAAGCATGCGGCCACGCCTACCCGATCTCAGGGATTTCGAGTATAGGTGATAAGATGACACTAGCAACGCGATATTTTCCCTACAAAGAATTCTTCTCATACGACCTCGTCAGCTTCCTCCTTCACTGTACTTGAATTTCCTTCCAAATTTTGCACAACGGCTATCAGTTCGTCAAAAATTGCCAGTGCCTTTTCCTTCGAATTTTGAAAATGAAGAGGCAAAGTGCTGTTCAGAATGGTCAGCTACAAACTTATCTACTTCGATTTAAGAGGAGCCGCAGAGGTTGCTAGGCAGGTAGCCGTTCCATATGTCATAGTTCAGACCTTCTTTATTAATACACTTCTGAGACGGCTTTTTGTGGTCTATCACTGGACTTCCTAGTACATCCGTACTTCCGAGATAATGTTCCAGTGTTCGCCCTTAGGCGGCGGGGACGAATTTGGATGTGCGGAGAACGTCCTGTGGCTAAGGACCATGAAGAGTTGCCAAAGCCAATAGCTTGTGGTTTCCAGCAGCAAAAATTTATACCTGATTTTATAAGGTAAAAGAGACGCAATAAAAAGAAGAACGAAAAGTGCCACAAAAGAAAGATTGTAGATGCAAAAAGAAGAGAACTGATAGTAACGACACAAGAATTACAACAAAAAGCATAAAAAACAGCGAAAAAAAACAAACAAATATAGATAAGAAAACAAGACAAAAGAGGCAAGTAGTGAAACCGCTAAAGTAAAAATATCGAGGGACCTTTTGATTAATAACTTCATTGTTCAGCTATGCCATTCGGACAGTTGCCGGTACTTGAAGTCGACGGAAAGCAGCTACCTCAGTCCTATGCTATCGTCCGCTACTTGGCCAGAAAATTCGGTAGGTATTAATCAACCTGTTGATTTACCAAGGCATAGGAGTACTTCTTACATTCAAGGTTTGCGGGCAAGAACGAGTGGGAACAAGCTCAAGTCGATGCGATCGCTGACCAGCACAAGGATTTCCTTAATGAAGCTCGTCCATACTTCAAAATCCTCATGGGAATGGACAAGGGTGATCCGGTAAGTTCATTAGATTGTGCCTAGTTGCAATAGGAAAGAGTACTTGTCCTACAGGAAACCGCGGCAAAGGAAATTTTCGAGCCTGCACAACGAAAATACTTCGAAATGATCACAAAGATCCTCAAGCAGAACAAGTCTGGTGCGTTTTCAGTTTATTAACTAATATTAATCGCACACCAGACAAGTATCGCATACAGGCAGCCCTTTTAGTTTCCTGGACCAAAAAACGGTAAGCAGTTAGTTAAGCAACTTCAAATCATGAAAAACAGTCTAGCAGTAATACAAGAAATTTAGTCAAGAATCGCCCTTCGAATACATGCGCACATAAAGGCAACCTGCTCATCTAAGCGACGGTCCTTGCCTGTTTGAGACGAGTGGGTCTGCAGTAGCGCACCACTTTTCGGTTTAAAACTGCACCGGAACGCTGCTGCAGGATGGTGATACCCGAGTGCCGTCTTCATACTCCGTTCGCGCTACCCTTATTGCGAAGCACTTGCGTCGATGACAAGGTCCCGCAGGAACACGTACTCAGCGAGAGAGCCACAAATAAGAGGGCGCAGCAGGAGGCGAAGTGTAAGCCCGCAACCGGGTACTGCAGTCCTCCCACCTTCTGGAAGCGCAGGGATGGCAGAGTGGGAAAGACACTGCCCACCACGCGAGCGGTCCGAGGGTCAACGTTCGATCGACCACCGCTCGTTTCACCCAATCCTTCTGTCCATCTCCATTCGGTGGGCTCTTCCTGGTTACGCCTGGCAAGACAAAACTCATTCGGATCCACCTGAGTCTTACAAAATCACACTTTATGTTGGCGTTGCACTCTGAACTTTGAGTACGTTTTCGCTAGTTCGCTCTGTCTTCAAGCATATTCCACGCTAAACATGCGGGTGGAGTCACCCTTGACCATCGCGCTTTTCCTCTCTATTTTACCACTTCAGTCATCTTACTAGTCAGCTGAACAGGTTGCTAGACTGCTCAAGCTGTTCCAAATGATTCGCGCCTACGGCGGCTCGAACCACTGCCAGCTGCACTGATCTGCGTGAGGGAAACATTTTTTTGTTTTTTTTTTTTTTTTTTTTTTTTTTTTTTTTTTTTTTTTTTTTTTTTTTTTTTTTTTTTTTTTTTTTTTTTTTTTTTTTTTTTTTTTTTTTTTTTTTTTTTTTTTTTTTTTTTTTTTTAGGATTCCGTCGATTTTTGCTGCAGGAAGATCTCAGATAATAAAAATTTTCTCGCGTTTTAAGAAAGTCTATCATTAAGTAATCAGTTCGTGTGCACACTCTAACCTTATTAATTTAGGATATCTCGTCGGAGATTCGCTAACGTTTGCCGATCTCTACGTGGCCGAAATGACTACTTTCGCCGAAAAATTCCCAAAAGCATGTAGGCGATGGCTTTCCCAGAGGTAGACTTTTCTTTTTTTGTGTATTGTCTCTTATCGTAAGTCATTTGTTACAACGGACGTTCAGCTGGATGTAGAAAAGAGGGCGCAGTTTGTCGACGGGGGGGCATTCGGCTTTTCATAGATGTGCCGACCCATCTAGGTAGCCTTTTCTCGAGTTGACACGTTTTAGGATGGTGGCTAGACGATCTTACTCCAGCTTCACAGGCGTTCACAAGTTTTACCATGGTGAGATTCGTAAACCGGAACTAGGGAAGCAATGTTAGTACAAAATGCCCCCCCCGTCGCTAAACAGCGCCGAAAGATATGGGCAAGTTTGACAAAACTATAAGTTCAGACTGTTATTTCCGTGTATCGCAACCAGACCTAAAATCAAAAGGGTCGATCTTACGAACGCCCACTGCTACCATGATCTAAGCAGTGGGTTGAGGTCGGCATCGCTTTGCTCTTCACCCCCTCATCCTAGCACGGGTCGCAGCCAGTCGGCGCGATGTTAAGGGATGGAATAAGCTTGCGCTCGCTAGCCCTTTCTACAGAGTGATCGGTTTGGCGATCGATATAGGAAGAAGTGGGTTCGAAAACGCCAATAGGTGGACTCATCTCGTGCCCCGACCGTTAATACCCCTCCCCCACCCCCACCCCCCGACAGACTACGGCGATATTAACTGTAACAACTCGATTCACCTAGAGCATAGGGTGTACAACCTCAAGGCACCTCTACCAGATGTATGAGCGTTACGATTCATAGAATTAATACCCTAAACTAATAATATTGTGCAGGTATGAGGTTGCAAGAGATTTGTTTGCTACGGTACTATTACTTGGCTGCGTTCAGACTTCGCGATGACGCGCGTCGTAGCGCTACTGTTAGCGCTCCACGATAGTGTTTAGGGAGAGTACAGGAAAAGATGAGATTGCCTGGCTGTGTACGGACCCTGCTATTTTCCTGTGCTTCCCCAAAGATCAGCTAAGGCGCCCATCAACATCCTTTATCAATGTGTTTCCCGTCTATAGCAGTGAAGCGCGATTGAAACGAGAGTGCGATGGCGCGCGTCATCGCGAAGTCTGAACGCAGTTCTGCAATCCGCACCTTTTTATGTCTGCATTTCGCCATTATATTTAAAAAGCCCAAGTAAGTACAGGTAAAGTACAAACCCGCGAATGCTTCCTCATCGAAAATTTTTTCAGATGAAAGCTCACGCTGAGAAGGTTCGTTCGAATCCAAAACTGAAGAAATGGATCGAAACTCGTCCAGGACTCGAAATTCTAAGTGGTCAAATGGATCTCATGGCTGACAGTATCCAATAATCTCATAATCTAAACATCCTGTCCTACCGGTTTTCGTAACTGTAGTGTTAATGAACAAGATTTTGTAAACGTTTTTGATTGATAAATCTTTTGTGTCAAAAGTATACTGTTCTGTTCGCTATCTTAAAATAGAGCAGTGGGTCCGCTAACGTGACTGGCTGTCTACAATGAAAGAAGAGCTCTTGCATGGTACGAAAATGAAGAGCAACGCAAGAAACAGTGAAAAACCATTTGAATGAGTCTCCTAACATGCCCATTCATTTGGGCGGTGGACGTTAGCTGCCACATTTTCACTAGTCGCAAGCCAACATGAACAACAGGCGCTGTTTGGCGACGGGGGGGGGCATTTTGCACTTTAACGACTTCCCATCGACGTGTCGACCCATCTAGACAGCCTCTTCTCGAGTTGACAGGTTTTACCATGATGGCTTGACGAGCTTGCTCCAGCTTCACAAGAGTTCACAGGTTTCACCAGAGTGAGACTTGTAAACCAGAA